GGATGGATGACGTGACGTATAACCCTAACAAGCACACGAATTGCTGACGTGGCGCTCTCAAGTAACACACTCAATCCTTACCTACAAGCACACGGATTGCTGACGTGGCATTGTCAACTAACACATCCACTTTGTACCTACCAAGTGCGCGGATCGCTGCCGTGGCAACTATGACTAGTGCACACTAAAATATCTATATCAATATTTAGAGTAACCTCTACTTTAGTTCTAACTAATTAAAGATGGATACAGCAACACGCACGATGCTTTACTCGAGGTTAGTGAAACATGGTTGTAATATATAGGCAGAAGCCAAGATATTTATCATGGGAGTGAGACAACCGTCCTAGCTATATTAAGCTAGAACCCAATGTTACGCCCTAATTAGAATTAAACTCAACAATCTCTTTCTTAACTCATGTTAAAGAAACAATAACCTTTGTAATCTACATTATGTAAGCATAAAATCACAAGAATAGTCTTGACGAAACACGAGAGATCATCAGTCAACACAAGACGGTAAAACCCGTGAGTCAAACAGCCAAAATTCGAGATAAAAATAACGCGATTCACCTTGGAACTAGGGCTAGGTCCACCGATAACATGAGCATCTTCACTCTAGATCTCTCACTCTGAAGAATAGTCTTTTTGTACATGTGAAGTTGAGATATTTCTCTCAAGTCCTGGCAATCGTTCTAGCTATATTTAGCTAGGATCCGAGATTACTCCTTAACCGGAGTTAACCTCAACACATTATTATTCCACGTGAATTTCTAAACATAAATCTAACACAAGGTCATACTTTACACTAGAATTAAGTTGTAGACATCAGAGTATAGAGTAACTATATAAAGAGATATCAATTTAAAAGTATTATGCCAACAAACTTTACCTGTGCTTCTCATGCGCAACCTGCATAGTAACAAAGTGTTGTGTGAAACTTTCTAAAGAAATAACTCTTGTCTACACATAAGCTCGATTGAGTTTACGGTCAATCAATCACTCTACTGTACACAACCTGGTTTCTAGCCAAATATAGACAAGTTCGTCTAACACAACGAAGAGTGATCGCGCAATGTGTCAATTTTCATCTCCATGAAAAGTGTGTTGGCTACATCAAAAAACACATGTTCCACTTTGAAACTCCACCGGTATCATTGGTAAGTGTGAAATTTGAAAAAACAAATAAAATCACATTTGAATTAATTTTAAATTTGTATATAAAAAAAGTTTAATATCATCATGAAAATACTTAAACCTTATTATTTTAATTCAATTAAAAATCATAATTAAATATCTAAAGTTTTAAAATATTTTAATAATATATAATTTAACTTAACTTTAGTTAAAGTTATTTTAATCATAATAATTGTTTTTTTTATCATGTTGCTCTAAAGGAGAGCTAGCAAAAAAAATTTAACAATAATTTATGATTTTCATGATTTAATTTAATTTTTAATATCGTGAACTTTGTCCACAATGACGTATCATGATTATGATAAAATTGATTATAGATTATAAAGTAACCTTTTTTAGATTTTCTTTGTTAAGTGATAATTTATAAAAAAAGAGGATGATGTCATCTATTACATACTCTTCATTTAATAGAATTCGGCACTAAATGTGATGCGAGGTCTGTAATATTCATGGATTGACAAGGATGATAAACATTTTAGATTTAATATGTATGCTCCATGTGTAAATAACAAGAAGATGAATAATTAAATCTTCAATCTCATTATTTCAGTACTCTATGTGATTAACATATTAATTTTGACAAAAAATGAATTCTATGATGACAAATGCAAAAACCAAGTAAAGTTGGCATAGAAGATGAAAGGTTTAGGTAAGTTTAGTAGTATATTGATGATCAAATGTTCATATGTATTTGGATGAAATACTATGATTAACGTAAGTACATTCAACGTGTGCTTGATAGATTTAACATTTCAAAGTAAAAAAAAATAAAAATTTATACCTTTGATAGCAAACTTTAAACTTTAAATGTTTATCAATGTCATTGAGAAGTGAAAGATATCATCAATTTCTTATGACAAAGTTATGAACAACCTTTGTGTATTGAATAGTATGCACAAGATTTGATAATGCTTTAGCTATAAATAAGATGGACATTTATATGTTAAATCTAATAAAGATGCATTGAAAATTAGTTATGTGAAGAACATTAAGTAATATGGTATTTTGTTTGATGTCTTATTAAACAGTGTCAAATACTTTCTAGGTTACATAGAAGCTTACTGTGGACAATATATGATTAAGATTTATTTTATTTTATTTTATTTTTTGATTACAAATTTTATGTTAAACATTTTGTACAATATTTATATTTAAAATCAAATAAAAATTTGGATTTTTTTTCAAAAACTTCTATATTTAAGTAAATGATTAGGATAATTCTTATATAAAAGGATTTAACACTTTTTCTATAGAATATATATGAAGAATTTATTGCTATATATCTTTAAATTCTTTTGAAAATATTTCTTTCATGATTGTTGTAAGTTAGATCTATGATGAATTTTTTTCAATTTGACTATTTTGAATATATTGTAGATGCTTCAAGAAACTTTTTTCTACTTTCAAGTTTCTCATTATGAAAGTTTACAACCAATTTTATTACGTTCACATATATTTTTTACTCTATAATTTTTCGGCTAGGGCTTAATTTTACTTAGTTCTAGTTTAATAATCATCTATGTCAGATTTTTTTTAATAGAATTTTTTGGAGTCTAATTATGTAGGTTATGGATTTATTATTTCCACGACATGGATTAAGAGAGAGATCTTTAATAATTAATTCAATTATATTTTAACTTAAGTTAATTTAGATCTTCTTAGTATTTAGATTATATTGTCATTATAAAAGATAGCTAGCAAAATCTCTCTATATACTTTTAGTTTCTCATAAATAAACACATTATGTTTTCGTTACACGTAATCCGCACTCGTGAACCACATGAATTTTTTTGGATTCCAGTTTTTTCGTGTCAAAATTTGTTACATATTGACTATATTGATAAACATTTAATAATTTTTTATAATTATATATTTAAAATTAAGAAATAAAAAATTTTAATCCATATAGTCAGATGGATATCTTAAAATTGAATTTTTTTAATATGAAAAAATTAACAAAAAAACTAGCAATATTAATCATAAATGTATTATATGAGTTATTAAAAAATTATGAATAATTATATAAGCAGATTAATTCAAAATTATGTTGCATGTCAAACCTGTTGATTCTTCAAATTAATAACTATAAAAAAATTATTTAATTTCACATGCTTTCTTAAAGTTATATATTTTTTTAATTTTTTTGACATAGATCAAGTAATAAAAAATATATCAATATATTTAATTTTCTTACAAATGATAACAATTTCATCATGAAAGAATAGATATCATGTAGATCAAAGTACATTTGATTCAAAGATTGTTTTGATTGTTTTTGATGTAAGTCTAATATGCATGATATAAATGTAAAATAAACAGAACATAACTATCGAGGTATAATTATAATATTAAACTTGCTAACAGTTTTCGAGGAGAGATGACTAAATTTTTTGTTTGAAGGTGATAGGATTTGTATTAGATGATATGGTTCTATTATAGTTGGCCTTGTTAAATTAACATGCCATGCAATTCGCTTTACAAATGTTAATGTTGTATTTTCTTGGTTGCAAATTGATAAGAATAGAAAAACGTATATACCAACTCCAAAGATGAATACCAAGGTTTTGCTAAGATCTTTGAGACTTTAAGATCATGAATATCCATCCATAGTTTAATTTTATTCAATGAAATAGTTTTCATGTTAACCAATAGTAAGAGAATTTGATATTTTTTAACTTATGCTCTAAAGACTACATTCATGCCAAGTTGGCATCAATGAACCTCTTACGTTGGCATTGCCAACATAAGAACATTCCGCTTGTTTTACTTGGCATATCTAATAATTCATTTTGGCTATTAGTAACAAAATTACATATGATAAATCTTATAGAGAGTACTATTAAAGTAAGAGAAAATAGCGAATTTTTCTTATTTTATCATAATTTTAAAATTTCAAGTTAAACAATCTTATTTTGCACAGCTTTATGTACATATACAAACCTGTTTAAATGACCAGACGGTAATTGGGTGAAGCCAAATATATACTTGTTTGGAAGGTAAAGCTATATCATGAGAGCGAAGAGGAATTATGCTAATTGCCACTTGTAATAGCCAATATGGAGGGTAAACAATTTGGAGATTAAACATCAAACGGTCCAGCAAAGTGTAAACCATTGGAGGATATAGTATTACATTCAATGTACATTTTACGAATTATGTCGCACCTCTAATTGTAACATAGGCAGCTCGTATCCTACTCTACTATCAGTCTCTAACTGCATTAGTGAAGTCAGATTTGCAATCATTTCTCAATCTGGTGTAAATACATGCTCTATCCTTGAACGTGGTTTGCGCTTCAGACTAAATGAAGATTTGCAACGGATTCATATCCATAATATTCATTCGAGAGTGAATACTGATGCGTTCGTTTCACCGCTACCTGGTTGAAAATTTGATCCCATCATGGAACTGCTGAACTCCACAAGCTTGAATCTCCATTGTCCGGGTCCATTACAAACCCTTAAGTTACAGCTCCAAGTACCTGGTTCCGACCCGTTACGTCCGATATACGGTCTACCAGCAACATTACTGTCGTAGTCTGTGTTCGTAGACGGTCGCACTTACACTTAAATTGAATCGACAGCTCAAGGTATTGACCGCACATTGCCAAACTAGTTCACATCGGCTACGTATCTTGAAGGAGACAGTTGACCCATATGATTTTAACGACAATATCGCCAAAATATCGCCGGCTTACAACCATTCACCATGTCTTCCTTAGCCACAGAGTAATACAAATCGAGATTGTGGGATCGGATTTAAAGAAATGACTAATGGATTAGCACTCACTACAGATTCGTAACGACTGGCTAGCACTATCCTGCACCACCGGGGCACTAATTGCATAATGGCAAGGACTTTCACCATGATGGTTTTGAATCAAATCTCACAATGTTCACGATTACAGTTCCGGCTCTTGAAAATCTGACTCGAAACCTCAAGTACCTGGTCTGACGTGCGATGAAATACCATTCTTTTGACTTCCCCTCGGAAACCATAGACTTGGATAGGTTACCAACAGATTTCTTACTTTCTCCCGTGGAAATGAGATTATTTAGACTTTGAGAATTTAAGGTTTCCGCAAATTGATTTGACTCGTAGAAAAAGATTTTCTAGCACGACAGTCGGACAGAATAAACTAGGATTCCAAAAATACTGGGGCAACACTCAGTGACATCGAGAGAAGCACAACTTTACATTTCAGGAATAGAGGTTTCCTTTCATCAGCGGCACCATTCAGAGGTGAATCCCGAAGCAACACTCCGTGGGTATATAACATGGAAAACATAATTCACAAAGGCCAGTCGCAACCCTGTACAAAATTTTTCACGATCCATATCCTTAAGATGATAATTCAAGCCAGCTTCGCAGTGGGTGTTTCAGACCCAAGCGAGGCCACCGTCTATCCGTAAGGGGATTTTGAAATCCTCAATCCAATCCGCCTTCACCATCGAGAGTGTGAGCCGGAGGCAAGACGGCCATCCACATGAGAAACGACGCCGAGAACCTCAATCCACACACTCATCGTAGCTGCGCACAATATCCGGTATTAAGCTCCCCGATGTCGTCATGCCTATCATCCACAATGAAATTCATAACTCAAATATTCAAGTGATTGCTTCCTAGTGGCAAAGCCATCTCTCGAAGCGGCAAATTTTGCAAGTGGTTCAAGGTTTTCAAGAAACCAGTCTTAGACAAGACATACGATCGCGACATAAGACTTTCTTCGCGATAGCAGGGAACGCTGCATCCGTGCCATGCAGTGTGGAATGACCACCTTCACCATCGAGGGTCAGAGCGAGAAGTAAAATTACAATCCAAAGTAAAGACTGAAATCGAGACCAGAAACAGAAAACTATAAAAAATCCAGACTGAATGAACCTACGCAAATCATCCATATCGTCCTCGTCAGTCGTACGATCCGACTGGGAACTCCCTAAGCTTCGCGAAGCTGGTGCTCGATATCGTATTAAAGGCAACATCACCATTCCGAATTTCGACCCAGAATATAGGTCATGTGCGACAGTTGGATTGCGCAAATTTCGAAGGAAAATTTGCATACATTCGAGTGAAACCACACCAATACAAATCAAGAATAACACAACAATAAATTCCCAACTCCTGAATACAAGAGAGAATCTAGAGTATGTATCACTAGACGATAAAATTCATCCGCTTTTCTTCCAATGGCTCTCTGGCGAAGATAGCATGCCTCGTGAAATTGAATTGAACTTCAGCGCTACTGTGGAAAGATTTCAGGATCTGATCACGTACCAGAACTACTCGGCCGCCCGCCGTCTTCCCTTGGCGGCATCGTAGAGTTCGAATGACTGTAAACACATCGGAGAAAAGGTAACAGGTAGAAGCGAAGAGAAGACTATGTTAGAAATAGACGTTGACTGAAAATCAAAAAAAAGTGGGCTATAGGGCATCCTTGCAAGTTACACTAGTGTCTAGAACGAGGGCAGATCTGGTAATAAGAACCTGTTAGCTACTTAGAGGTGGACAAGACTAAATTGCTTCTGTGGCGATCGCAGGATAACCACGTTCTAAACCTCATCAGATAATAAATTCTTCGACGGGAAGAGTTCTTCCTCGGATGAAGATGATGGGACCGCACTCCGTATGCTCTGACATACGATGGGTTATCTACGATTTCCAGACATAACGATCACATGTGAAACGAGAAACCTGTTCGAAGTTTCCCGTGGACTCGGAAAAGAGAACCGAAAGGATCCTCCGTGATAGGGAAGGGGATATGCTGAAACGACGAGGCAGCCTGAAGGTCTGGCCGTCGTAGTAGACGAAATCCTATGGTTAAAAATCGAAAGAAGCCTAAAGGACCAATTTCAGTGGCTCTTTTTCACTAAGGCCTACGGAGTCCTTCATGCATTACCCGTAAGAAAAGGCGAAGCATGTACATGGCCAGTAAAAAAACGATCAATGATACGACATGGTCAAGTGACGATGCGAAAGCAAAAACCCAGGCAACTCAAATAGTCCTCAGACAGACCTTTTTCACGATGATGGCTCCTGCGACCATACCCTGATTCAGACGAGAAAAAAGTCCCAAACAGTTACTGCGATGATCGTCAACGGAAAGCTTAAAATAAGAAATCTAGAAACAATCGGAATCCTCAAAACACTCGAAAAAGTCAGTAGTCCCGTGCTACCAACGCGCCTGGAACCAAAAGTTGCGACTGACCTTCGCAACAATCAAGTCCCCGGTGGTGACTGCCGCTTCGAAAGCCTTCCTTGTCCCAGCACTTTGCACCTGTTCCGGATGGACTCTGGGCGATACAAAGAAACACCCATTCAGTCATAAAAAAGTTTCGATATCAAGTGCAATATCGAAACCATGAAGGATGACCACGATTCCAGGGCACACGACCTGAACCATAATATCTGCTCCTGACTGGCATCTCGTGATACGTCTAGCATGCTCTTCACACAAACGGAAAAACACATGAAGCACAAAGAAATCAGACAGTTCGAGTCGAACACACTCACGAAATCCAGCCAACCCGTTTGAGAGCCCCGATCGTGGTGATCGCAGACAACAGGCACAGGATGATGGTGCTAAACCAAGACATCGGGAAGTTCGGTCAACCCTTCCGAAGAATATGTTAGGAATTAGAGCCTCGCCTCGAACGAAGCCTACTGAAACAAACCGAGTCCACTTCAGACACAGGCTTTGACAGGCACCGAAGATGCTATTTGAAGGGCCTGAATAGCATAAACTGGATACAACCCGCGCGCAATCTCCCGCTTCGCTTCCACCTGTTTTCTACTTTCGCAGCGAAGCACAGGGCCTCCTCATTCACTCACTGTGTCCGTCTGAGCGATCGCCTGCCTCCCTGCCTCGCCTTCCCTCCGCCCGCCTCTTCTTCACTTCAATCCTAGAATCGTGCGCATGACGTGCTCTCACAGCAATTTGCAAATTCTCCGCTGCTAAATTTTCTGCCGGCTGTCCTAACAAGTCCTCGCCATCAAAAGTGGTTGCATGCTCCAGAGTCCGAGTTCGCCTCCGCCCGCGATTTTTGTCACACTCAGTGCCGGCACCACCCCCAAAGCTTGAGGATGACTCCACGCTTGACCTAAATCAACTGCCTTTCTTGGCATCTGGCGATGTCGATAAACTCCTCCGACGAAGCCCTTGAAGAAAGTACAGCAGCAGGTCGGGCCAGCCCCACACCAGCCCCAGGGCACCGCAGGGCAGGGCAGGGACGGAACGGGAGGGGCAGGGCAGGGCAGGGCAGGTCAGGTCGGGCTGAATCGGGCGCAGAGACAGAGGCTGATGGGGCGGGGGTGGCCGAAAAGCAATCAATTCAGACAAACGACGACGCATTGTCCGTCTGACAGTGCGCGGGCACGTCGGCAACAAATCCAAGTGGCGCACGCTACGACTGTCAAAGTGCCTGCCCTTTCACCCACCTTCCAGCTGTGGGCGGTCAGTCCCACCCGGTGAACTGCTTATAGCCGGTCTTTTCCTGCCCCTGCCACCGTCACAGTATTTTCGAAGATCCTGCTTATCCCTCTGCCCACATCTTTTTCCGTCCCTCTCTAGATGTTACCTACTGCTGCTGTACTGTACTGTACTCCAAACGACATGATCTAGCGATTGCCCACTGTGTGAACTGCCTACAGTGACCTTCGAATGCATAACAAAATGATGGACGACACAAACCAGCAACAGTTCCATGCCTCAGATATAGATGATGCGTGTTAGGTGAATAAAACCTCGCACTCATATTCATCCAGAGTTTTCCTCTAAAACCTAAAATGTACCACCCATGTTTCATGCCGTACGTTCTAACTTAGTGGATCTTGTCATTACTTTCATAATAATACCTCATAGGCATTTTTGCAATCTCATGGATCTTAGCTCTGCATGCATCATGCTCTCTAGCTACGTCAACTACTTGCTTCATAACAATGAAGTTTGTATTAGCTTGCTCCATACCTTTCCAAATTAATTGTCCACATTTTACTGTGGTATCATTTTATATGCAACAAGTGCTAATATGACTTGTTGCTTGTTCAAATGGCAGGATATTATTAGTCATGATGCCTGTAGTGTTGTGGTGTTTTCTTAATACCCTCGAAATGTAAATTCTAGCTAATTCAACATTTTTTTTCTTCAAACCCACTTGCAGCTTACAATATACACCACCTAAACATTCACAACAAAAAACTAGGTATGAAATAATGTGGTTCAACTTAACAAGTCTACAATAAAAACAAATTCACAATTCTAAATTCTATTTCAAATTTTAATTTGTCTCACAAATAGGTTTTTACTATTTTTCTTATGTAGCATTGCCTATACTAGTTTAAGTAGTTATAGGTAAACAAACTAGAAGTATACAAAACTTGAGTTGATTTCTAACATTTTTTGTAATCATATATATATTCAGCTATAAATTCTTAAAACATATCTCAAACATGGTTCCTTACGTGAACAATGATATAATAAAATTAGTTTGTAGCCTAATAGGAAGAAAGAAAGTATTTATAAGAATCAAAAAATTGTTAGAATAGAATTACTTATGTTCATTATGTAAAACTTGCATAATAGCAAAAAATAATAATTTAAACTAATTGAAAAAAAATGTTTATCAAATCATCACTTTGAATTATCATAAGTCTTAACTAAGCACAAACGTCCAATGACACATTGCTTCTTAAGTAAAATCAATTATGATGATAATAAATATTATTTTCCACTCAATTGTTTGATTTGCTACAAGATTCAATGCATTATGATTATCACAAATAATTATATAATCTTTTGTTTTTGAGTATATGTTTATTGAACCAATAAACTATTTTGCAACAAAATATTTCAATTTAGAAGTTGACTAAGCTATGCATTTTTGGAAGTAAATTTGAAAATATTTTTTTTTCTAGATTTAAACACTTATCCAATTATAAAAAATGTAAGCAAATTAGCATAATCAAATGAAAACCACTAAAAATAGCATAAATTCTAATTTTTTAAAAAGTTAAAAGGTTCATAGTGAAACCTTATGTCATATTATAAAAAAATTAATCTTAAAATAATATTTAGAGCTTATTTGATTTTTTATTTAATAAAATTAATCATTTAAATAATTTAATATAGCATCATCAAGCATAAAATTCACAAAAGTGACGGATGTTAAAAACACACTTTGCATTACAAATAGATTTCAAGTCAAATCAAGATATTATATTTTCATCTTTGATAAATTTCATCTCAGTTAAAATTAATTAAATAGTAATTACTATCAAACTTGTATAATCAAGATAAATATTAATTTGAGTTAAATAAAGCTAGGTAAATATAACTTGGAAAAAACTATTACAAATAATAACTCACAACAACATGATGCTAAATTGTAAATTTTAACCAGCGTGAATTCATATCATTATGTTTTCAAAAATTAACTATAATCTGAATTTATTTTGATTTAAAATTTATTTTAAATTCAAATAATAAATATATACCAAGCGGATTTTAACTTTCATTTTATTTATTAAATATAATACATAAAATAAAAAATCAAATAGTTTGATGATTCAAAAATTGTAATGATATGCTGTAATTAATATTTTAAGATAAGGAAATTTAGATTCATTCTAAAAATAATAACATTGTGACTGATATATTTTAACTTTATACTTTATATATATAATTTAATTTATTATAAAAAATTAAAACATTGAGTTAAAATTTTTTACAAGATCTATTCATAATTTTTTTGATGAAATTAAAATCTTATAAAATGAATTTTTTAATATTCATATAAGTAAGGAGTATTTTATATTTGATAACATAGCATAAAAAAAGCTTAAATATGTGATTGAATCAGAACAAAAAATGACTTCAAAATTATTAAATATGATGAAGATTATGACTTTATTGTGTGAAAAAACAAATGGAGAGCAAATTGAAGTCTTTATGATCACAATATTTATGATGACCTGAATATTTTGTTCAAAATGAGAAAAATATGTTTTATGTTTAAACAAATGAATTTAATGGTATTCATATGCTGATCAACATAGATTATTGATATATTATAAGCATATAATATTATGTATTTCATTTTATTTTTTCATAAATTTTTTGTATTTCATCTTATCCATGTTATTAAAAGATCATTACAGTATGAATTGTATTCCTTATAGGCTCTTGTCAAATTTGGCAAAACATAACAATGTGACGCATATTCACATCGATTATATTGATAGGAGTTTTGACATTGATGAATATCATAAATTTTTTACTTCTACTTCAACCACATTTTTATTTTCATAAACTTTGAAAACATTTAGATTTTAATCATAAGCCAATTTTATTTTCATTACTTCACGTTGATTTTTGTGACAATGCATAAACTTCTCTAAATCAAATTTTTTTTCTAATTTCATTGAAATTATATCAAGTAAAGCTCAAATATTGCTTGAAAATTTGATATGTGTGACTCTATATGTTTGTATTAACTAAAGTTGTAGTTTAACTTTAACTAATTTAATTTTTTCATAATTTAAGGATTTTTTTACCCTTCAAATAGTTGTACAAGATGTAGCTTAACTCAGATATTGTTTTATTTTTTAAGTAAAATTTCATCTATCCGTAGACAAAGTCTGGCAGAGTCAAATCATCTGTAGATTGGCATTGTGGTTTTGTATGGTATTTATTTTGGTGACTTTCACATTATAGTGATTATGAAAACAAATCATCTTTGAAAAGATTGTTCATTTGCTTATCCGCACAATGAGTGCTTCACATTTGAAACGTTCAAAACAAAAATGCGTTTTTTTAACATTCCATCAAAATGTATTTGCTCTTGCATAACAATCTCCTGTTTGACGATCAATTATAATTGAATTTTGGCCATATCAAAGATTTGGAGCGACTTATGTCTACGAAGAGAATTACAAGAAGGCAAGAAGAATTTGAACGATTTGCGTTATTGGACTCAAATGTATAGTGGTGTGATGAATAATGATGTTTTCAATAGTATTTGTGATTGAGTTTTCTAGTAACAATTGGTTTAAAAGTCGTAGACGTAAGTATGCAAAATGATATTTTGAGCAAGGAATTGTGGTCAAAATCAAGTGAAAAAGGTGGAAATTTTTGTAAAATTTTGATACTTCATTTTGTCATTGGGATCAAGAGGATTTAATTGTATCCAAATGATACATCAAAGCTCATTCTAACATTTTTTAATTTTTTCTTAGTAATGTGTTGTTTGATCACACAATTTAAAAAAGCAAGTCAAGTGTGAAGATTAACGCACTCCAATGTGGGAAAGCTCTTGCACCTTACCAACACGCGTCCAGACGTTGCCTACGCCGTTGGCCTCTGTACCCACTTTAATACAACACCTCGCCAAACGCACTTGGATGCTGCTAACAACATTTTCCGGTATCTCAAAGTCATCATGCACCTTGCAATTCTCTATCGAAAGGAAAAGATGATTGCATCGACCGCATACTCCGACAAAGACTACCAAGGCGACATGGACAAACACAAATCAAAATCTGCCATACCTTCATCGTCGGTAGCTCTCTCACAAGTTGGCACAACAAATTACAAACTGAAGTTACTATGTCAACTTGTGAAGTAAAATATAAAGCCCTTGCGGATGCTACAACCGAAGCTGCTTGGCTACGTGGTCTTATGGAGGAGATCAAAATACCACTGACCACACCAATCCATTGTGACAATTAGAGTTTCATCAAATTAACCAAAAATTGGGTGCAAAACGCAAGGACAAAGCACATTGAAAAACAAATTCATTTTGTTCGGCATCACATCAAGGAGCAAAGAATCGCAGTGAATTATGTAAAAACCAAGATTAAGTAGCCGATATTCTCACAAAATCACTTACACCACAGAAGTTCCGTGAGATGCAAAATATGTTGGGGCTCACAACTCCTGATGACTATCACTCTAGTACTCTCAAACTTGTTTCTTCTTGATCTCACATCGTTTCTGTGGTACATTTTGACAAAAGTAGAGTGTTTGATGCCTTGGAAGTATAGTTTGTTTCTTTTTTTATATAAAATTATTTCTTAGAAGATACTTGGTCTCATTGGAGAGTAGAATGAGTGAATAGCCGCATCAGGACTGAGGAATGTGTTGGATTTATCTAAATGTACTTTTAGAACGTTACGCTACTCATGCACTGTAGCAATCTCACTGTGGCACTGTAGAGCAAGTGGCAGCTTTAGGTTAAGCTGCCACACAATGCAACACGCCGTTCCTTGATAGATTTGTGCACATGTACTTAAGTGATGTTTTCTAATAACAAAA